ATAATGTTTTTTTTTAACCTTAAACCGCATAAACACATTTCATTACACCAAATACACAAAATAACGTTCTTTTTAGCAACATCATATGACCCCTTTAAACTGTCCAGAGATTGTATTGAAGAAAAAAAAGACCTATTAAAAGGCTGGAAATACAGTGAATATTTATCATTTTAAACAATCAATATATAATATATATTAAACAATATATACTATATATATATATATATATATATATACTTTTGAATGGTAGCTTTTTAAAGATTATATATACCGTATATATATATCTTAAAAAACTACCATTCAAAAGTTTGGGCTCACTAAGATTAAGATTATGCTCACAAAGGCTGTATTTATTTCACCAAACACAAATACAGTAAAAAAGTAATATTGTGAAATATTATTACCATTTTATATTTTAATATGGCTTAAAATGTAACATATTCCTGTGATGGCAAAGCTGAATTTTCAACAGCCATTACTCCAGTCGTCAGTGACTCTTTGATGAAAAGAAAGTTCAAAAGAACAGTATTTATTTTAAACAAAAAATTGTCACAATGTAAATGTCTTTTCTGTCTCTTTTGATCAATTTAATGCATCCTTACTGACCCCACACTTTTGAACGGTAGTGTATGTTTGAAAACGAATAATGATTAAGATGTGCACATGCATCTCATGCATATTCAAAGGGTCGTATAAAATATAATATACCAACAGGAAGAACTTGACCCTTTGACCTAAATTTATACATTTCATTATCTTTATTTGTCGTACATCAGGTTATAACGGGACGTGTCCTTATAAGACCTTAATGGTGTACTACGGGCCTAAAAAGTGAGTATTAAATGTCAGACAAATTATTTGCACGGCATTACTCACTGGAAAGAGGGGGGTCTGGAATCTCCAATCCCTCCAGTTCGCTCCAAGGGTGGCGGCAGCTCTTTGTGGCTCTCTGTGCACTGAGATCCGCCATCCGAGTGTGTGCCTTCAGCCAACACCAACTAAAGCCAAACACACACACATAGAATTACCCACAAAGGCTTCAGGAAGAAACTCTCCAGACTAACTACTAGCCCTGCATAAATAAGTAGAAGGAAGGAAGGAAGAGAAGAGAGTGTATTTGTTTGAGCAGACAAGAGAGTGATACATGGACCCTTTAAGGCAAGTCAGTTCACTTGGCAGGCTTCTTGATAAAGGCCCTGGGCGGCTATTTCAACATATTTCAAATCAGCAATAAAATATGACCACGATGGTATCAGTATTGATGCATACTTTGCTCAAATCACACACAAGACAATTCAGGTTGGTCCAGTTAAATTTCATGCAATAGAATAGCAAATATTTCTATGAGTGGTCCAACGACTCCACCTTATTCTATCAGAGACAAAAAAGGTCACTTATGATGTGGTAAAGTGCTTTCATGATCCAAATAATGAGACTATGACACTATAACCCTATAAACACTATTGTTCATATTCTCTGCACAAACCAATGATAAAACCTTGAAGTACGGCAGAAATCCAATGCACTGTTAAAGCAGTGATCATGTTATGATATACTGAAGGTCTCCGTGTTTGGACAGCAGGCGGTGAAGCACATATTTTAGTGCAGCACAGCTCAATGTCATGTATCACAGCATGTCTGTGCAGCTCTCTGCAGCTGGAGGCTCGCTGGAGTCCACTAACCTGTATTTTGCACCTCACATCAACTCTACACAACACTATGGGTATAACACCTGCTTGTAGGAGTGTAGATGTGTATTTTAGAGGCAATTATCAGATTCATTATTATTCATTGCTTTTGCTGCCACTATCAAATGTAAATATTTAAAATCTTGTATTTGTATGAAGTTTACTCATAAAAATGAAGTCAAACATTTACTCATAAAATAAAGAGTTTAATTCAGATTGCAATCCAGTTTACTTCTGTAATGTGACATGTTTAATAGGGTTGGGCCGATAGATGATGCCATCATTCATCACCGATGGCTGACAGACATCACAATGTTGAGCCGGCATCACAAGGCTTTGGTGTCATCACACAAAAAGGTAAGTTTCAGAGGCAGAGCAAGTTTAACATTTTAATCAAAGATTACAAAGTATAAACATCATTTGTATAAACAACAAGCACTGTTTGCAATACAATAGTTTGTATTAAGAATGCTGGTCTTCTGGTCTTAACTGGGTTAGATTGTCTCCCAGCCTAACCAAGCTGGTATTTATCTATTTTTTTGATTCACTAAAAAGAGCTGGTTCATAAGAGACACTGATTCAAGAATCAGAATACACTGGTCACACTGTATTGGTTTATTCACTAAAAAGATATAGTTAATTAGAGTCACTTGTTCAAGAATCGGACTACACTGGTCGCACTGTATTTGTTTGATTCACTAAAATTAACCAGTTTATAAGAGACATTCGTTCAATAATCAGACTGCACTAGTTGCGCTTTATTGGTTTATTCACTTAAAAGAACTAGTTCACAAGAATCACATGTTCAGGAATCAGGCTACACTGGTTTCATTGTATTTGTTTGATTCACTACAAAGAACCAGTTCATAAGAATCATTCATTCAGGAATTTGTTCTCTGTGTTTGTTCCCCTAAAACTAGCCAACAGACTGGCCTGAGAGACTTATAAAAAATAACAGGCTGTTTTAAGCTGTTTTTTTTTTTCAGCAGCGTTGATACACTAATATTTCGTAATGTCACAATCTGTCCAATACAGAGAGGAGGGCACCATCCGTCTTACTTACCCAGGACACCACTCTACCGTTGAAGCAGGGCAGCTTGGCGTTATCATCAGAGATTTCTTCTTTGACAACTCTGCGGGAAAGAACACAAACTGTTAGGGAGTCTGTGAGACCAGCACCCAGGATTGCACACCAGTGTTCCATCTATTTGCAAAAGCTGAGGCATACTGAAAGCATGTCACGATCAAACAGCGGAATTTTCCACTTAGCTCGCAACTGCTGGCTGCTCACGATGAGAATGCTGAACACCCCTGTTGACCGACTACTCTGTTAAAATCTACTGTTTTACAACGGGCCTCATTAGTACCTCATGCACGTTCCAGATTACCTACTAAAACTGCTGTTGCTGGACTGATACAGTGGCTTAGTATAAATGTAGATCTAATGTTTCTCTAAGTGTGTGAGCGTTTATGAATGTTGAGGGTCTGTACATATACATTCAAGTGTGGGCACATTTATATGTGTGAAAGGTGCAGCAAGGGTGTCAGGGCACAGGAGGTTATTAATAGAGTAAGTGAGTGTGTTAGCAGAGTGTCCATCCCAGGCTGTAAATTCCCTACATAAATACCACAGTTACACTTTAACCCTCCCAGTCGAGGTTCAGCAGTCACACACCTGCTGGTCTCCTGTCACTGTGCACAGGCCTAGTCCCAGACACACACATACAAACCACACGAGACTGGCAAAATCCCTTAAGGCTCCACTAATTGCCATCCAGTAATTGACCTAATAAAATATACCTATTAAAACATATTCGCATATGAACAACCACTAAAGTTAGTGACTTCTCACAAGCTAACTTGTACAACATATAACCACTTGCTGTTCAGTAAGCGAGTGTTAAATTGTGTGTTCACCTCCAACTTCTCTGACGGCTTCATAATTGTCATTGATTCATTAATAAGAACCGGCTCTTAAAGAGTCATCACAAATTGAACTGCACTGGTTACGGTGTGTTTTTGATTCACTAGAATTCAGAAGATTCTTTCGTTTAGGATTCAGAATACATTGGGTGCATTGTAATTTTTTTAATTACTAAAAAGAACCAGTATATAATCTCTTATAGACTCTTATAGAGTCATTTGTTTGGAAATCTATCTACACTGGTCATACTGAAAGCTACTGATTCACTAAAAAAAGAGCCAGATCATACAAGTAATTTGTTCAAGAATCGGACTACACTAGTTTCTCTGTATTTGTTTGATTCACTAAAAAGAACTGGCTCCTAAAGAGACATTAGTTCAAGAATTGCACTACACTGGTTGTGTTGTTTTTGTTTGATTTACAAAAAAAACTAAAAAAAACATATTTGGTACATTAAAAAGAGTCATTTGTTCGGGAATCAGACCACACTGGCCGTGCTGTATATGAAACAAAAAAAAAAAACATTTGGTTCTGGTAATTTTTCCTCTGTTCCCAACCCAAGAAAGATCCCAAAAGCTTAACACCTGCAATCAAAAGTGACGGATCAACATGAATTCAAACATTTCTCAAATTCTTCAAATACCAAACAACAAATATGTCAACAATTGTCTCATTGGAGAAACATCGGAGAAAGGTTTCAAAATTCAGATTTAAGGTATGAGTGCATGTTGTAGATTATGACATGAAGAGTGTCTTCAAGTAATGTTAACCACGGATCTTATTTTAATCATAAATTGAACACAACCACTCTAAAAACCCATTAGACGTTCCTGAGGGAACAAATGGGTTGGCCTAGAGACTGATGTCATGACTGAACAGCTCTATGCAGCATCCTCCTCTCTGGTTTATGTCATGTACTAGTTTGTACTTTTCTAACAATTTCTAACTATTTTAAACCTTTGTTAACTTCTTATGTTACTTGTTGTCTATGTTGTCTCTTTAAGATGAACTGCTGGATTAAAGCATCTGCTAAATTAATAAATGAAGAATAGATGTAATATCAGTAATCATATTTTGACCACAACATAAAAATCAATATTGTGCAGTGGTAAAATCTGTTGACAGAGCATAATGATTTGAGAAATTCCAGCAGCCTGCCGTAATTATAATGTCTTCCTCTCTGCTCCTCCAGAACTTCCAGGTCACATCACCCACACGGCTGTGAGACCGAGGAGGTGAGTTAAGCGGGACTGAAGGATGATAACATGGTCTTGTGGAAAGAGTTACAAAACCAGGAGAGTTTCTGCAGCCTGTTCAAGCGTCCTGAGCCCAGCACAGGAAACTGGGGTGTAACTCTAGTCATGGTTAGGAAGTGTTTGTGTCCTTTCAAGAGGTCTTTACAATATACAGCAACATACACAGAGGAGTGTGGGGGTGGCCATAAGGAAGTATGTTTATCCAAACTTGAGGAAAGGTAACGCCTTTGGTTACACACTGGAGTTTAAATCTGTTCTTCTGGGTAATAATATCAGCTTTAAGCTTAAAATGTCTTGAAACTAGCTAACAAGCTTTCATAAAGGGATAGTTCACCAGACCGGATGAAAGTTTTGTCGTCATTTACTCATCCTCATGCCATTTCAACTTCTGTGTAACACAAAAGAAGATATTTTGTAAAATACTGCAGTGTTTTCTGTCCATGCAATGTATGTCAATGGGGTCCAATGTTTTTCTGGATGCATTTGACTTAAATTGGACAGCTGAAACATTCTTCTAAATATCTTCTTTTGTGTTCTGCAGAAGAAAGTCAGTCATACAGGTTTAGACAATACAACATTTACGATCTGAATGGTTCTAGCCTGTGCAAAACTCACCATCAGGATGCTAGCATGCTATGGACGGTTGCCAGATTGTTGCTATGGGTTACTAAGGTGTTCTGTGTGGTCTTTTGCATGTTGCTATGCAGTTCCTAGGGTGTTCTGGGTGGTTGTTTACTGGCCCAAGTCAAACCTCCAGCAAATGTCTATGATATTCTGGTTTCTCTTTTCATGTCTAAGTCTAAGGAATCAGTTTAATCCAGTGCTGTTACTGTTAACTACAGCTAAAACTATTAGAAATATTTTCGTTAAATGAAATAAAGCTGAAATAAAATATATATATTAAAAGATTAACTAACTTAAAAAAAATTGAAATGTTGTCTTGGCAACTGAAATAAATTTAAAGAAAAAGTTGAAGTACTAAAATTGCTAAAACTAAAACTGAAATAAATATAAACAATTAAATAAAAAAAGCAAAAGCTAATCAAAATGACAAATAAATGATTTAACAAAATTACTAAAAGAAGATATAAAAATACTAATAAATACTATAGTACATGAATAATCCTAAAATAACACTTATTATCTGCCAGGCAAAAATCTTAAATTAGATCGCTTAGAAAATAAAAAGCACACCTCTCCTCAACCAGTCACATAATTTATGGTACAATTCCTATTAATAGCCCCAACGGCCCGAGATTAATAAGTAAGGTTAGTGAAAAGTAGGCATGGGCCGGTATGAGATTTTGACGGTATGATAACCTTAAGCAATAATTTCACAGTCTCACAGTATCACGGTATTGTTGTTAAAGCTCTAAAATTTGCTATTTTTAAAAATAGTCTTTTAAAAAAAAACTTTTTTCCACTGAACACAATATATTTTATTTCTGAGCAACATACAGATTATTTGGAACAGTAGTATTTGTTTATTTTTTCTTTGATTTGTTTCTGAAATGTTTGCTGAATTGTGGGCTGTCCTGCAGCTTTTGATGTGGATGGTTGATTTGCTGCTAGAGCTACTGCTGACATCTTTATTTAACCTAAAATCTGTAATTACAGTTATTTAATTTTAGTTATATAATTCATATACATATCATTTCATATCATTTAGTTATATAATTTCATATACATAATTTGATTTAATAATAACCCAATTTGATGCAAAAACTGAATGTTCTGACTATAAAAAAAAATACCATCTAAACTTTTCTGAAGACAGTCAGTTCCCTTCAGAAACACATTCATATAAACCCCTAAACCAATATTTAGGATTTTCTTCCAAAAGTTTGTGCATCATGAACAGTGAGTGATCTGCCTGCTACAGTATTTTTCTCTTCAGCATCTCTGGCCTGTGTTAACGGGCGTTTATTTTCACATAAATTACATTTTGGAAAATGATTGCATTGCAACGCAGTTTCTGCAAGTCCAGAACAGACGAGCTGCAATAAAACAAAAAACGTCCGGTTGCCAATCGCGTAAGTTCCAGGGGAAGCTCCTTTGGCCGTCATACACAAACGTGACTGACTGCTCGTACCAACAGGAGGAGGAGGGTTACTCTCTACACTGCACTCAACCTGAGGGATTCCTACACTTTCAGTGAGTCTTTGAGGAGACATGAAAAACAGCGCATACCGCAGGAACGGTATAACGGAATATGTTAGTGGTTTTGAAACCGTGAAATTTTCAAATCAAGGTATACCTTGAAACCAGTAATCGGCCCATGCCTAGTGAAAAGAGTAAATAGCACCACTGATGGCATTCCCAGTGAGATCTAACAAATGAAAATCAATATATAACCATGCATGCCCTTATTCAGAAACCTATAGGGCTTTTCTGACTAGCAACCACATGGTCATGATATCATTCATCTACTTCAGGGATTTCCTGTGATGTGGGATCATTCCATCTGTGAGCTGCGGCACAGTTTAGCATGATCCTATAACAAACAATGAGGGCCAAGACGAGGGCCAGCTCAGTCCGATTAATGCCTGATCATCAGTCAGTGAATGAGACCATGAGATTATTTCACCTACAAGCTGTTAAAAACAGAGTGCCACTTCCATATCACTTCCAGTTAAACGCTAACCACATCCCTCCACACAACACACGACAGCAGCACTTTAAAAATTAAACACAACTGAAGTCTTTCTGTGAAGTCAATGGGGGTCTGATAAAAAATACATCAACTTGGCCTGACACTGAGGAATCCATTACAGCGTAACCATTAGTTAAAACACAAGCACTCTGTACGCAACGTGTACTGAACAAAGGCTGCTTAAAAGCCAATGAAATCCATCTGGATCATTACTCCCAGTCTTTATTCATACGCTCCACTGATATCTTGTTAAACACATCAGACTTATTTACGATTATGTTATCCAACAATAACACGCAG